AAATTTTGTTAACGACCTTGCTTACTCGAAAACGGTTTTTGTGACGACACTTGCCGAAATTTTCGCTTCTTTTATTGAGTAAATTGTCTTTGTTTATGTCTTTCAAAATGCAAAATTTTTCTTCCAAGCATAAATTGCAGCGTTTTGATTCCCCTGTGTGCGAAATAGCGTGTTTTAAAATTGACCATTTAATGGTATAATCCTGATTGTTTTCTTTTAATTTCCAAATATGTTTCGAAAGTTCCGTTTTGTTTGAGTCTTTTTTATGACGAAAAGATGAAGTGTGGTTACCTTAACGTTCCTTAATAAGGTGGCTCGAAAGGAAAAATGGACCATTTTTGATAGCTTGTTTCATTGCTACAGAATTTATGGAATGATATTATTTTTTTGGGAGGGGGCAGAAGTAACACACTAAGTCTTAGGACAGTAACCAAAAAAAATTTGGTGTATATTTATTGAATTGCACGAGTGTAGCACTCTTACTACCACAGCCTACTTTTCCGTCATTGAAAATTAAGGCATCGCAAGAAACTCGATATTGGCAAATATATACTAGCTATGGTTCTAAAACTTTTAAGATATTATGCAAAGAACTAGAATCAACTAGATATGGCCATGCATTCATAAAAATTTTGCATCCCGAATAAGGGTAAAGCAAAACATCCTAAGTTCATTGACCAAAATGTCTAGAACTTATGTTTGGTTAGTCCAAACTCAAAAATCCTAGTTCCTTGCATAACTAATAGGCACATGAATACTCAGTGAAAATTTCAGGTCAATATCATTTATAGTTTTTCAGAAATCGCAAAAACTAATTCAAAAAAGCCCCGAAAATGACAAATTGAGAAAATCCGCCGCAATGTTTGGTATAACTAATCAGTTCAAGTTTAGGGCTCAAAATGCCCAAGATTCATATTATTGGGTAACTTCCTCTTCTGACAGGTTGTCAATATAGCCTTTTTTTCTCTGTCTTATCTTTTTTCCTTTATTTTTATGCTTGTCGGAGCTTTTTCGTGTGGAATGGCGGATACGGTCATAGTCTATCTTCTTGCGACACTTCCTTGTCTGACACCCCGGTTTAAGCAATTGTGTTGATGACCTTCCCACCAATGTTCAAATTCCTTTGAACCTTTCCTGCTGCTCCAGGTAATACACTCCCAGCATTCTTTTGACATGACTTCAATGTCTAGCACTTTTCCGGTAATCAGCGACATGCCAGTAACGACCCCGCAGGAAGATGAATATCCCCTTCGTCTCCAGGTCCCGTCCACAGTAATAACAATAGCCAATATCATACACACCATCTTCTTCTGGTTCATAAAACTGCTTTGTCTCCTCAGCTGCACTTTTCATGCTTGCCTTTGCAACAACTTCAGCAGCTCCATGAATAGCTGTCACATGGTCGGTGTATGAATTTGCATTCATAGGTGCCAACATGTTCATTGCACCACAAAACTTCACAAGCCCTTGGTGACCAACTCCAATGTTTCTCATTCACACAGCCCTTCTATTTGCTTCAAAGGCTTTAGATTTATTATTCACCCGACACCCGACTTGATGTATAACAATTCATAGAATATGAACACATTTCGGCAGAACATTCCAGCGAAAGTTGTGCGACAAGTCCCATCTTTGCAGTTATGTCTTCCTTCATAACAATGTGACCCGACTTACATTTAGGGCATATAAAGGTGTTGAAAATGGACATCAAAATCGATATATCTATAATTCGAAACCCATCAGTACAGTTTTCTTCATCCACACTTGATAAATCACAGTCAAGTTTCCTTTTTGAGGCAGGCAATGTCGCAATGACCTAAATTCTGAAGCGCTCGATGATGTCACTTCATCAGTGAAGCAGTAGTCAAATTTGACGTACTTGTTTCAGCAATTTTCTTCTCTTTAGACGCTTCAGAATCAGGTAATTCTTTGACTTTGACATGACGATTTCCGTGAAACTTTCGTTTCTTTTCTTTCAATCGAATAAATTTCTTTTATCAGGCATTTCTAACGAAAAATACAACTCTAACAAATCTGAAGAAATTCATATTTTTAATTCAACGTTTCGACTACTGTTGAGTCATCATCAGGAATTATGAAAGCTTTAGTCCCATGGTTTAATTCAAGGGACTAAAGCGTCAAAAGAACTTGTTATCTTTAATTAGAACTTGTTGACAGATTAGATCATCTTATAACACACCTGTACTTATAACTTGTAAAATTTTAGTAGCTTTCATAATTCCTGATGATGACTCAACAGTAGTAGTCGAAACGTTGAATTAAAAATATGAATTTCTTCGGAGTTTCCATTGTTTTGTATTTTATTAGAATACCCGGTGGTTATCGAAAATTCTAACAAATCTGTTTTCTAGCTTTCTCTTTCAATTTGAATTTTGACTTGGTAACCAGGCAATGTAATTAAATCTACTTACCAGTCCTCTTTGTAATGGTGCGCACTTTTTACAAAACAACGATAAAAATAGGTACGCGACGCGTACATGTATCTGCGAAAAAACGTTGATTCATATTTTGTATTTTTGTTGAAAGGAACTGAATAATGAAGATGACATGGGACAATTGAAATATTCAGACCTGCCAAGTCTCACGATTTGATCGTGAGACTCACATTTTTTTATGCTTTCTCACGATTAAGTCCCCAAATCTCACGATTTTCGGCAAAATCTCTGCTAAAACCACAAGTGATTCCAAACACCCGTGGAAAAAAGAAATATGCTATTATTTCGTGAGACTTGACACTGGAAGCTACTGAAGCCATAAAGAAAAAACAGCCTATTTTTAATATAAGCCTTACATTAAGGTCATATTAACAAAATATAAATGCATACTATCCTAAGATTGAATATCTATTGATTATTTTCTAGTGTTGTTAAAGTTAACCCTCGTCATATTAATGAGCAAACCTGAAAATTTCTAGGTCTCACGATTTTTCAGTCAATCTCTTTTTAGATAGCAACTCACTATTTCTGCTACTCAAGGGTTGGCAGATCTGAATATTTCATCACTTATTATAATAAATATAATAGCAAATAAGATTTTAAAGTCAAACATAATACATCTAGCAATACTGTACACAGTGGGGAGGGCAGCAAGACCCTAGCCCAAAGAAAATTTAACTAATTTTATAATGTGATTATGATTGTAACAGATAATTATGCAGTAAGGAAATAAAAATTTCATGCAAACAATATTTGAAGTGTCTATATACAGCCGGCTATTTAGTAAACTGCCACTTGTGAATTCAATCCATACTCAAATTTTCAAAACTTTATTGTAATCATATGATTAAGCTTTTGTTCTGTCACTTGTTGTTTACACTTGCCAATGTTAACTGTTGACTAACATACATAAACTATTTGAGGAACATGCATTACTGTAGCAAAGAGGTCAGTCATATATCGAAGACCACTGAATAATACAGAATATTTTGAAGGTCATGAGTGAAGTATATAATTCAATTCCAGTCCTGTGCACAGTTAATGATATACCGCACTGTTCGGTTTAACACAGCATATCCCGCACACAAAAACAATTTGTGTTGTGGGAGAAGGGTATCACAAGTTTAGTTTTGTACATTGTGTGCCATTGATCAGATTCATCCATATAATATATAATTATTCATTCATTCATTGTAGCTGATAAGTTATTTTCCATGCTAATGCATTTAGGTAAGTATAGTAATTTGCAGAACTCATGTATATTAAATATGTGGGATACATATTTGCACAAATTTGGAATTTAAATCTATAATATTTATATGTGGTACTTGACTACTTACCAGATGAGGATAATATTTCATGTTGATAGATAACTTCGGAATAATATCGCAGGCAGAATAGCGAAAAAATAAGACAGCCAATTCAACTGATAAATTGATAAAATTGATAAAAATATCAAGATATTTCTGAAAGAATAATGCACCTATCATTGTTTTCCCCCTGAGGGGGGGGGGGGG